TGATGCTGGGTGAACTGAGCCAGTATGATTCCACTTACATGCTGTATCTAAAGTAGCCAAATCCACTGACACAAATTCACTGGTGCTTACCTGGAGGGGGTTGTGGGGGGGGGGTTGTGGGAATGAGTTGTTGTTTAATGGGAGATAATTTCAGTTTTGCAAGATGAAGAAGTTCTAGAGATCTGTTGAACAACAGTGTGAATCTACTTAACACTACTGGCCATAAGAGTGAACAACCTGAACAACCAAATGGTAACAGATAACAAAATGTAGTAAGTATTTCCACACAATGAAGTATCGAAGAAGCGATACATGCCAAAGCATGGGAAACAGTTTGCTATGTGAAAAAAGCCAGACATGAAAGACCACGTATTCAGTGATTCCCATTATATAAAATGTCCAGAACAAGCAAATCCAAAGTGACAGGGAACACATGAGCAGTTAGTTGCCAGGGCTGGGAGAAGGTGAGTGTGGGGAGTGACTGTAAAAGGGCATGGGGCCCTGGCTGGCGTAGCTCAGTGGATTGGGTGCGGACTGCTAACTAAAGTGTCGCAGGTTCGATTCCCAGTCAGGGCACAGGCCTGGGTTGCAAGCCATGACCCCCAGCAACCGCACATTAGTTTCTCTCTTTCTCTCTCTCTTTCTCCCTCCCTTCCCTCTCTAAATAAATAAATAAATAAAAAACTTAAAAACAAAAGGGCATGGGGTTCCTTCTGGAGATGATACAAATGTTCTGTAACTAAACAATGAAGATAATTTGTTGGGCAAATAGTTTCTGTTGCTTGGCGTGAACGGCGCCATCTTGAAAAGCAAGCTGCTGTCAGTGACCGCCAGTTCGCCCAGAGAGGGGTGAGCCCCTGTCACCTGAAAGCAGTGTTCTTACAAAGAAGGTCCATTACATGAGTCGTTACTGCCTGGGAATGTGCAGCTCTCAACCACTTGGCCTCAAGCCACCTGTGCTCCTGGAGGCTTGTGTGTTGAGCTCCCAGCCGCTCTGCACACAGTGCATGGAGCCCACCTTCCTGCTGGTGTCACACACCCTGCTGTGTCCTGCTCCCCCTACTTGTCTTAATTTGAGCTGTCGGCCTCTTCCTTTGGTCTCCAGGCACCGTCCTCCAGAAGGGTCCAGCGCACCACAGGAAATTTCCCCACACCGTTGTAAATGCAGTGAATGCACCGACAACCAGTGACTTCTACCGCTAAAACGGTGAACCCCATGGTTTGTAAATTATATCCATTTAAAGAAAAATAAGAAATAGAAGAAAAAATAAAGTCAGAGGGGAAGGGAGCAGAAAACAGAGGATCAAGGGGAGGAAAGAAAATAAGGAGGAAAAAAAGAAAAAGAACTCAGACCAACCTCTACTCAAGTCATATTTCCACATTTAGGGTAAAGACAGAACTGGTAAATGGCAGAACATTTGGTCTAGACAAGATTCTCAGTCTTAGCTTTTCCCATCAAGTTATACAGGGTCCTCATTTCCATTTACTTCGAGAACAACCGATTCCACAGTGTGTGACAAGAGATGCAAATCAGAAAGAAAGAACAGAAATGACAGGCACATTGTCATGAAAAGAGATAGTAGGAAAAAATAAGATTTTTTAAATTTAAACAGGCAACAAAAAAAGAAAAAAATTAAATATAATAACAACAAAAACACACAAGGATAATTTTAAGGTACATGTTGCAATCCTGTACTATGTATCAAAATAACTATTTTAAAATAGCATCCTTTAACCCTCCAGTTCCTCTGTAGGCATCTGACAAATATGTAGATAGTCATTACCATTTGTTTATGGCAGAAAAAGAAGAAACAACTTAAATATTCATTGGAGAAAGAAGTACATTTTGTACATGACGTGTATAAAATACTTGATAGCCATTCATCTATTGCTTGACAAAGGGATGGCATCTACAATGTGTCGGAGACTCCAGTTACTGAACAGCATGTAAAATATTCTATTTGTGTAAAATGTTCCTCATCTATGGAGATTACGTATCTCTGGAAGGACATATTTCTCAATGACAGAATTTGAAGTCATTTCTGCTTTCTTTTTTCTATTTTATAAATTGTGGATTAACTGAACACTTTATGTACATCATAGTACAACACAAGCTTTTTTTATTAGCACACATTACTTTTAAAGTAAGGTAATAATAAGTTTCAATTTAGACAAAAAGTTATCTTTAGAACTGGTATTATTTCAAACAAATGCAACAGAATATAAGGAAGCTAATTAATCATAATTTCACCTAATAGGCACTGGATAAGCTAAGCATACTTTTGTGAAAATGTGAACTAAATACTGTAGTCACTATAAAGGCCACTATTAATTCAATAACCCAAAGTTTGGGTAATCATACAGTTTATCAGACAAACTGGGACACTTCTGAGAAAGCAAGGAAACACCATAAAGAATTACGCTGGACATGGGTAAAAACTACGACTCACCTAAACAAATTAGGACATACGGTCATTTTACCCGTACATCACTAGAACTGTGAACCGCAGAATAAGGACTCAAGAACTGCGCACCCTGAGTTCAGGGGGAAAGCCCTCGGGGTTTTGTCGAAGACATGCACTGCAAGGCAGCTCTGGCTGAGTCAGAGTGCCTGCCGCTGTCGTCCGGCAGCCTTTCCCGCCCTTAACTTAACACTCCTGGACCCTCCCCTGAGATTCTAACGCAGTAGATTTATAATGGGGTCCAAGGAGCTGTTTTCGTTTGTTGGCTACTTTTCATTTTTCAGGTTAATTCTCAGGCACACCTTTGACGGTTCACTTCCAGTGTGACCCTGTTAAGGGAAGCCCGGGTAGCTGGGTGTGTCTGCAGGGAAGAGACAAGCAGTTGAATCTGCAGATGGGTGAAACTCACCCTCTGCAAGGCTGGAGGGCCTGAAGACAATGAAAGGCAAAGGACAACAGGTTCTCTAGCTTGAACTGCCCTGGGGCAATGGCACTTTCCTGGCCTTGGGACTGAGACTTAGACCCTCAGCTCTGATTCCCAGGACTTTGGACTTAAGGTTCAGGCTAGCACGACACAGACCCCTAAGGTTAGGGAGATCGCTTAAGGGCGAACTTAAGGTTAAGCTCCCCCGGGGCCTCCTGTTTGCAGAGAGACTGTGGGGCTTCCCAGCCCCCATCTGAGCCAGTCCCTCATAATATAAATATCTTTCTCTGCATCTACATATGTCTTACTGGTGCTGTTTCTCTGAAAGACCCTAACACAAACCCCAAATGAAAACTGCCACTAAGATGTGTGTCTCAAGCTTTAACCTGCATATGAGTCACCTGGAATGTTACTAAAATGAAATTTTAGTCATGTCATGAATAAAATTGAAGGTAGGACAATAAATGTGAGGTGGGACATTTCTAATAAGCCACGAGTGGGTGCAGATGTCCCTGGTCCTGGGTGGGGGCCACACCAACTGGCACGGCTTGGTGTCCTTTGAGCCCTTAAAACTAAGAGGCCCCATGTTACTCATCTGCTAATTCCCCTAACTGAACAAATATCTAGGTAAGCAGAGAAACACATTCTACTTTCAGATCAGCATTATTTAACGTTAAACTGAGGAGAAGGTCATACCTGATTTAAGCTAAAAACTCAATCTTTAATATCTGCACTAAAATCTGAAATGGTTAAAACTTAATGAACTAAAACAACAGAGTACAAAAAAATACATAAAAATCAGAGTAATTTAAACATTTTTTTAAACTGGGACATGGAAAAAAATTGTATCTCTCTTACAGAGACGCAACAGAAAGTTTCAATGAAAAGTAATTTTTCTGTCTCTAAGTCAAACAAAATGCATTATCCCCCAGTCCCTAAACCATGAAAGAAAAATGTTTCTATCTAGTGTTGGCTCAGATTTCATATTTTATATCACACTAAAACTAGCCCACACATAACACAAACATTTCATAAATAGCTAATTAAGAGTACAGCACTCAATAAACTTTGTTATGCAAATTTAAGCAGAAATATCTCTTTTCTGGGGATCCAGCTGCTGAAATTTACAATTACATTTAAGTAGGAAAAGCAAAAGGTTGTTTTCCGAAGAAGTTCAGGACGTCAGACAACTTGTCTCAAACTTCCGCCCCCACTTGTTAACCAAACAAGCCTCAGACTTTCAAATCCTTGTTGAATTGAAACCTTTACAAATGTCACTGCAAAAATAAACAGCCTGATGTAACAGATGGCATCAGTTGGAGCTGTGTTTATAGGTCTATCAATCTCAGCACAAACCTTGACCTTCAGAACAAGCACTACGTCACACTCATTTTTGTATGCACGTATTCAGCAGACTTGGATAGAAGAATAAAACTTCCTAATCTATTTCTCCCAAGATTTAGAGCCTTGTAGTGAGCTAGGTCAGTTATCCTGATTATTATTCTCGTTATGCTCATTACATCTATTAAAAGAGTAATTAGTAGCACTTATTCATAATAATCCAATTAGGTTCATCGGAGAGGAGTGTTTGCAGAATCTCATTCACTTAAGTCAGAGCTCCCTGAGGACAAACACATTTACACTGACCGTCGGGATGAGCCTCAGCACCCAGCAGGGCACCAGTAATAACTGGCAGTCTAGGTGGTTGAAGGAGTGAACAAATGGATGGACTGTGTCTAAAACACAGCAGATAATCCCAAAATGTTCCCTGACTGTATTAAGAAGAAAGCTTATTTCCTAATTTATTCATGACATGAAATTCTATGTAACATAAATCCTGCGTTGAAGTATGTATTGCAAACCCCACTTACATCCGTAAAGCTCGCCTCTATGAGACGTGCTGTGTCACCAGGAGCATCTGAGGTGGCTGTGATGGACAATTACATCAGTGTTCCTTTGTAACTTCTGTATCAGCATATTTTTCTCTTCTGCATCGTTGCAGTGCCTGCCAGCACACCCACGTATGACAGAGCTGGAGAGATGACAACCCTGTTCTAGAACCCTGCGTTTGTCCTCTATTTCATTAAGTCACCTCAACAAAATAAAAAACTCACCATTTGTAGGTGTCTCTGGGGACTGCTGCGTAGGGTTCCCCTGGTCCTCCTTTTCTTCTGGACTCTCCCTGGACTTTGAGAGCCGTTTTCTTAGAGACATGTCTTCGCCTACCATTGTGCTATCTAGGAAAGAAGACGTACAAAGGTTTGAACTGGGTATCTGGTTTGGGCAAATTACATGATTTCACCATATAAGAGGAGGTAAAAAATGACGGTATCTCCTCTTCCTGCTGTTTTACTTTGATTACGTTTAAGCATTTTCTGAGTACAAGATACAATAACAAATGCAAAGAAATTAGTCCCCTTAAAGTAACTGACTGGTTTCAAAGGCCCGTACGCAAACATAGCCCTCATTCTTAAAGGACAATTTAATTGAACAAACAAGGCATAACTACATGAAAAATTAAGAATTCAATAATAAAAGGAAGTACAAAGATGCCACAAGGTAGTCACGTCAATGGGGAAAACAAGGTATCTGGACCCAGTCCTGCAGGAAGAGAACAGGGCACTTGTGAGTAAGAAAGGGTTAAAACAAAATCCTCAGAAGCCCTGTTCAAGGGACCGCAGCTGATCTTTTCCAGAGGACAAGAAACAAGCTTTTGTTGAAGACCTGCTAAGTACTCTGCTGGCTGCTTTCTGCCTTCGCATCTAATTTTCATTGCGACTCTGCAAAAAAAGCTGTTACTACTCCCCGATCACACAGGAGAAAAATCAAGGCTCAAAGCACTTACTGTCGGTGCCCCCCATCCGCACCCCAGGAGTGCACCTGCAGTTGCACAAGTTGGGTCTGTCAGGGGCGAACACCGTGGGAGACTGCGGGGCGCCTCAGCAAGCGAGCACTGGAAATGACTTAGCTAGGATCTGGGGCTTGGCTAGCTGGTTTTGGGGCAGAGTCCAAAGAGGCAGAGGGTCACTGCAGTGTGGGTGCCGTCAGACTGGGCACCCACACCGCAAGCCTATGACTGGGTTTCCTGACCAGTCTCCACGAGAAGGCCCCTGCAGGGAGGCTGACGCTGCGCTGGCACAGCAGAAACCATCCCTGATGTTAGTCTGGGGAGGAGGGTGCTGGAAGTTTTGTGACTTGGACAACATTCAGGTTTTGTCTGTGTTCAGACGTGATGATGGCACGGACTTGTTTTTGTCTTGATCCACTGTGGTCACAGAACGGCCTTTTCTGATGTGACGGTCAGTGAAATTGTCTGTGTTCAATAAAACACCAAGAACGAGCTTTAAGCACCAGGCTGTCTGGCGGCAACGCCAGGGCCTCCTGACCGCCCCGGAGCAGCTCCCGGGAGCCCGGGGCCGCCTTCCTCCCGCCACTGCAGTGACCGCACCGCCCATGACGCGGCCCGATTTGAGCCCGGGTCCTGTTGGAACTACCTACACCATCAATTCCATTTTTTAAAAATCGATAAAACAAATATGGTGAAGGGGAAAACTAGAAAAGAGAGCTGGAATCAAATTGTAAAAAGCTAAGAAATTAGGACTTTTCTCCAGTGAGGCAGGGGTGAGCCATTTTAAGCACCAAAAACCATGATTCAAGTCAAAGTTTGGACAGCTCAATGTCAAGACAGACCAAGGCTGACTCCAAAGCAGTGTTTTACATTGTATGAAGTTTCCATTAGTGTGGAGCGAAAAGAAAAATAATAAGATACTCACTATGTTATGTTTAAAGCTACATATTTTTAAATTCTGTTATATGCTTTCTAAGCTCTATTTAGTTTAAAATGTCCTGTTCTGTATGAAGTGTAGTACATGGTGAGTTTGATGGTTTCCTTAAATATCACTGCTTGGCAAAGTAAAAATCTGACAAATACGGATAGGTCTCCTCCTAACTTTTTCCTGAAATTGAACAAATGGAGTAATTATGAAAGAGTGGGTGTGTATGCCAAGTAGAAATCTTAGGAAGCCGGTAAGTCCCAATTAAGAGGAACCTAGGAAAGAGGTCAAGGCAACAGACAAATTTGCTAGTCATTTGTGTGACAGTGACAGAGGAAGCCAGAAGATCTAATTCTTCAACAGAAGAGATCAGAGAAGTGAGAACAGACAACCAACCTCTGAGGGATGCGGGATGCCCTCAGAGTAAGACATCAAGAAGTAGAAATCAGGGAAGAAAACAACAGAGACAGAAAGATGCAAAAAGAAGCGAGATGTTTCAAAGAGGAACAAATTCTGTAGGGGATAAAGTGGGTTAGAAACAGGGACTCTCCTTTTGAATGCTCATGTGCTTTATACATGTATGACACATTTTAATCCCAGTACAACCTTTAAGGCAGGTCCTCTTATTTTGTTCCTCAAATAATGTCTTTGGTCACCATGTCTTCTGTTACACTCCTTCCTGTCTCTAGAAAGCCCGTTTTCTTCTGCCCAGTCTTTACCTGGCTAACGCACTCACCTTCCAAGCAAGAGTCACAGCCACAGCTGCAGGATCTGCAGCAGCAGCAGCGGCAGCAGCAGCAGCAGCAGCGGCTTTGACTCGGCTGCCAGCTATCACGTACCTACCAGGCTCTGTGCTGCTAAGTCCTTTACCTGTTCCTCTGAAACCTTACAAACTTAGAATGGAGGTATTATCCTCCTTTTATAGATGAGGGAAATGTAGTTTGGAGAAGGGACTTCACTGGCCCCCAATCACATGACTCTCCAACAGCAGAGCTGGGATTCGAAACCAGAACTGTCGGGTTCCACAGCCTCCCCTGCAACCACCCGGCTGCCCGACTCGCGTCCTCTGCTGAGGCTTCTTTGACCCACCACCTGTCATCTCCCATTCCTCGGCGCTCCCACTGCTGCCGTGACTCCTATCTCACTTACTACCACTTCCAGAGAGCCATACTGCTCCCTCTGACACTACTCGCACAAGCTTCTCAAAGACAGGGACCTCATGGCGCCTACCCCTCGAATCCCCGAAATCTAGGGGAGAGTCTCGGCAGCAGAAAAGGCATGCATTAGCACAGAAAGCGGACATATCAGTAGTACCACAACCAGTTACTCTAAGTGAGAGGACACAGCGCTCTAAATTCAGAGAACCGAGAGGAAACGGTATGTTGGGAGGCAGCCATGAGCATCATCTTTACTGTTAACAGCTCTGCACACCCTACTCAACAGTAAGATCTACAACCACTGACCTTCACCGGGGGTGGACGGCCCCCGAGACTCCTAAAGGCATGCAAAAACTACTCCAAATATTTCAATAATGAAAGAAATAACTGCACATTTATCACATAAAGTGAGTAACACAGGCGAATGAAAACAATCACTTCGTTTTTGGCTGAGACTGTCAACCCAGTGAGAAAATCAGTTATCTCACGCTGATTAAAAGCACTAATTAAGAGGTAAAAATACTTAATAAACCAAGTTTGATAAAGAAATGATGTTTAACAGGCAAAAAAAAAAAAAAAGAAAAAGCCTGGGCATTCTGCGGAAACATTACGCCCCTAGTCACGGAACTAGGAAGCGCCGGCCCACTCTGGAGGAGAACGCCTACGTCGGAGCTGGAACACAGGCCCTGCGTTTGCACAGCTGTGCTGCCGTGATTTCATCTGCTGGCCAGGGGAGCCCAGGAAGAAAGCACTAACGCAACAAAACCTTTTTGTCACAGCCTACACTAATGTCATTGACCTCGAACTCCTCTATTAGCCACAAGTGAGAACTGCAGCACAGTGGAAAAGCACAGGATTTGGTATTAGAACACCGCAGTTTACAACTCTGTTCTATCATATCAGTAAATCCTCCAACCTTTCTGAATCTGTTTGTTCATCTAGAAAATGAAGATAAATACTACCAGTTTATCATCACAGAAAAGAAAGATGGTACACACTATAGTACCAACATTTTATTAACAACCAACTGTAAAGACTGAAGTGATCTGCCCTGGCTGGTGTGGCTCAGTGGATTGAGTGCTGGCTTGTGAACCAAAGGGTCACTAGTTCGATTCCCCATCAGGGCACATGCCTGGGTTGCAGGCCAGGTCCCCAGTGGGGGGCACACAAGAGGCAACCACACATTGATGTTTCTCTCCTTCTTTTTCTCCCTCCCTTCCCCTCTGTCTAAAAACAAATAAAATCTCTTTTAAAAATGAAAAAAAGAGTCAAGTGATCCGATACCTACACACATACTTCCTGTATGCCAAGTGACACAGTCAAACACTGAACCATGGCATCCCTCAATTCTTCTTGTTTGCTCTGTGATGTACCAGAGGAGGACAAATAAAATGCTGTAATTACACATTTCCTCAAGGGCAGCTCAAACACCACGTGGCTTCCAAGATAATATTACCATTCTTGTCAGATGTTAGGAAGGACAGCTATTACTTGAACTGCCTCACCTCCATTCCGACCAGATGCTCAGACCACGTAAGCGGTAAAACGATGAGATGATGTCTGCACTGAGCTCCTCCCGCCCTGCGTGTGAGCAACGGTGTGGAGCTGTTATGCAAAACACTGGGGCAAATTATAGCAGTGCTCAGCTCCACGGTTCCCTCTCTAGACATAGGGATCATTCTGGCCGCTGTGTGGGGAGCAGACCGTGAGGTCGAGAGCGCAGGCGAGAGACCAGTGAGCAAGCCACCGCACTCACTCAGGGGAGGGGTCAAGCAGAGCCGACCTTTTCGACCACTCACCTAAAACAGGACCGAAGTCTACCCCCTTACCAATCTAGACACTCGCTAGGCAAACTACCTGAGCTGCTGCTAAGTCACAGATTCAAGCTGTAATTAGTGCTCAGCGGTGTCTCTGTGCTAAGGTGGACCACTGCCCTTAGGTGAGGTGTACCCCAATTAGCACAGGGCCTGGGAGGGGGGCCATCCTCCCTGTTCCCTATCACCTCCAGGTCCCGTTCCTCCTCCCGGCCAGATTATCACAGCGGATACACCTCTCCGGTGGCAGGCACGTGCAGTCTTCCTGGTCCCGGCCCTCATTCGCGGAGCGGTGAACACCTCCCTCACTCACTCTCCCCTCTCGCTGATTCTCCCACACTTCTTTCACATCAGGCCACGTGCACAGACCCATCCAACACCCTGGCCTCCAACCTCCTCGATTCCTCCTTCTCAAACCAGCTGTTCTACGCCCCAGTCACACCGTCCCCTAGGATGCACCGCCACCAGTCACTGGGCCACGCCCGTGATTCTG